TATTGCTAAATGTTACTGAATTACACTTGGAGGAATTAAATTCAGAATTTATAATATAAGACATAGAAAAATGATAAAGAACCTATTATGCATGACATGAAATGATGGCCTGCGTCTAAAAATTGAAATGCAAGAAACAGAAAATAACGAAGTAGTCTTAAACAATAATGATAATGAAATCAGGCTATGTTAATTCATATTGATGAGAATAATGATGATAATTATTATGATCAATATACTATTTATCCTTTGAGAAAAGTCACATAAAAGTGCTACCGCTTTATATCAAATGTTAAAAATTCAGGCATTGTTTTTGGACAATCGTGAAAAAGATTTAGATTTCTATTTTCTATTGTGTTTTCCAGACTTGTATCCTTTATTAATAGACGACATGAATCTAAGCCGGTAAAACTTTATGATCATGAATTTATTAAATGTCATTTGAAATCTAAATCCATCCATAATACAAATTGAATCAACAATATTTATTTTATTTGTTAAATAATGCGAATATTCGTCAATTAAGTTGTGATATATTATCATTTCAATCATCAAATTGAATGTAACTAAATTGAAAGATCGTTATACAGCTAAAAAATATTTAGAAAATTGCACAAAGAGTTAGAATTAGAATTGGATTTGAATATATTTTTTTCCACTCTGAGAAATACGGAACAATACTAGCGACCAAGTGATTTAGAATATAAAATTATGGACCTGCGACATTTTTTTATAACATTGAGTCCTGAATGTGAGATGACTTAGGTGAATGTATTCGTCAAGTAAATGGATGGTCTAATGATTCTTCTTTATCCATTAATGTTTTTATTGCTAGAGATTCTGTATCGAGATTTCTCGATAATAAGTTTCAGGCGATTGATTTTATCTGTTCCAAAGATCACCTGATTGGAGAAGTAATACATTATGTTTATGTTATATAATAATTTTTGGCTCGTAGTCCTCTTTTTTCTTTGTTTTATGAAAACTTAATTTATAACTTTATTATATTAAGTAATACTATAGAATTTATTATTATTTTGTGCAATTTTTTATATAAAGTAAAAAAGTTTTATTAATTTTAAGTTATTTGGGAAAATATCTTATGCATATATACTTTATATTATATAACTTTATAAAAGATATTGTTAAAATGGAAAAGTTACGTTTACCAAAATATATTCTTATTGAGATTAAAAAGTTATGTTTTTACTATGATTATATTATTTTTAAATAATTATATTATAAAATTTATGATTATGCTTTCATTCAAGTCTAGAATTATAAAAATACATACATTTTGAAAATTGATCAATAATAAATGTATTATCATTATGTAAATAAAGATATATAAATATATAGAGAATCCAGTTATTCAATAGACATTTTTGTTGAATCCAAATGTATATTTACTGAAATCTATGTATTCTTTTAAAAGAAAAACTTGTATACTGTCATTTACTAGTATGCATCGGTTATTATTGAAACTTATCGATCATTCATTAGTGTTTCTTGTGGTTTTTCATTTTTTTAATTAAAACTATCATTTTTGTCTTATTTTTTGAAGATAACTTATGATATTTTTAAACAATGAGTTATTACCTTTGAGTGATTTGTTATCTTTTCTCTTTTATACACGCACTATAATTCATAGTTTATATCATGAATTTTTTATTTGTTAATTGACTAGTGTAATGATTACGTAAACATAAATGAAGATATATCAGATCTCGAAATTTTTACGAAATTTGCGGAATTCCATGGAATGGATTAAAAATTGTACGCAAATTTACATTATTTGAAAGTGAATCTTTACCTTTAATTTGTTTTTTTACGAAGTTTCATACGATTTTTTTTCATCAAGTTATTCAAAAATGACCCTTTTGCTTCAACATTAAATAACTCGATAACCGCAAGTACCGTTTGAACAGTACTTGCGGTACAGTATTTACTTTAGTTTAAACTTACTTTAGTTTAAATTAACTGAAGTTATCATTCAAAAAAGCTCGTAACAATGCCTCGATTGAATGAAATTCAGTGTACACAAATTATTGCTCTTCTGATTGAAGAAAGATTGATCCAGAATCATATTGCAAGAAGAATAAGTGTTAATCGGTCCTCTATCGATCGAGTTTACGCTTGTTACCAACAGATTTTGAAAGATTTTGTCGAAGGAGCAGACAAGGTCGAAGTAACATTAGATCGAACATCGAAGATCGCAATATCGTCAATGTAATAATCCAACAATGATTGTGATACAATGATACAAATTGTAAGCGAAATTCGTCCACATCGATGAATCAGCGTTCAAACGATCAGCAGACGTTTACACGAAAGAGGCTTGAGATCGGACTCGTGCTCGAGCGCCAATGTTATCTGTGACTCAACTTGCCCGTTTAGAATATGCTTACATTCATCAAAATTGGACTGCAAGACAGTAGAGCAATGTATTATTCACTGATGAATGGTTTTGCCTCTTTAGTTTTGATGCAAGAATTCGTGTTTGGCGTCATCATGAGTATTGTTATGAACAAAATTGTATTGAGTCTGTCCCAACGTTTGGTGATGATTCCATTATGGTATGGAGTAGAATATCAACATATAGACGCACAAATCTCGTCATCTTACTACCTCCTGGAATGACAGCTGTATGCTACATCATTTTGACATCAAATGACATCAGCTTACTACCAGAGTATGTGGAGGAAATTTTGCATCTTTATGTTATTCCGATGCGTCATCAAGTGGGATGCAATTTCATTCTAATGCAGAATGCTCGACTACATACCGCTAGGATAGTCCTTAAAGTTCCTCGAAGAAAACAACATCGAGGTGTATCACATCTATCGATGAGCGTAGATTTAAATCCCATCGAACATGTATGGGACATGATGGGAAGAAGGATATGCAATTTGGAAAGACTGCCAACGAATCTCCAAGAACTAGAAGCAGCATTACATCGAATATAGTGGAAAATACTTGAAGCCGCAATTAAATCTTGCATCAATGCGTGAGCATTTGCAAGAAATCATTCGAAGACGAGACGGGAATATCAGATTTTGAAGTGTAAATGTCACATACGCACGCACGCACGAGATTTGCTCTTTCGAATGGTGTAAATCATATACAATTTTTAGTCCCCTCCGTAAAATTCCCCAAATTTCATAAAAAATTTTGAGATGATATATCTTCATTTATGTTTATGTAACTTCATAAAATCTCCATGAGATCGTCTTTTAAAGTAGCGATCTGAAAAATAGAGGTTTCAAGCTGTAAAATGCTTTTTTAAACATCTCGATACGACGATTTTTGATGAAATTATTCTATCTTGAAATTTGCCTATTTTTGCAAAGTGAAATAGATGTTGCGTTAATTTTGTTGGGCAGTGTATTTTGAATGGTATCGCGAATCATAAAAAAGCAACATTAATAAATATTCTCATGTAAATAACGTAATTTATGCGATTTCTGTTTTCACAATTAATATAGTTTGCGTAATTAATAATTTAATTAATTTTTCGTTTTCGTGCATCTTTTGTACGATAGAAAATTAAGCATAACTTTAAAACTATTTATTGATAATAAAAGAAATCTTTCTTTTTTTATTGTTTTTTTTGTAGCTGATTGATTCCAGCCATTGACTCTAATCATCTTATAGACATCATAATAAGAAATTCAGCTCTTTTATCTTTTCTGCTCTGAATTTCGCAATGATGACCAATTGATGTGTTTTTGATATTCACTTCTAAAAGTCAACTGATAATTGCATAGCTATCGATAATATAGATAATAGCTGTATATTACATTTTTCAGATATTTTCCCTCTCACGGGACTTGATGACGTGAAGTGCAAGCGTTGCGGAAAGTGTGTGAAAGATATTTTCCCTCTTACGAGTACATTTTAACGTGGTGAGAGAGCTCAGTACCCAGAGGATATACATGAAAAGAACGGTTTTCCCTAAGTATCTAAAAATTATCGAATCTATCTGAAGGATATATCTAAGTAAATTTTTAGATACTTCAGTAAAATCATTGTCTTTGTGTAAAAATCCAACGATGGAGAAGTTAACGTACCTCCGTCGCCGACTAAATTGAAAGTGAGTGAACCACAGCCGATTCATCGTATCGCGCGTTTGCTTCAGGAGTGCTGTTGAAGTTATCGGACTAATGGACATTTAAAACTCATTCGATAGAATTTTAATTATAATTGATTATAATTAGTCCGCGCGCAATCGTAGTGTATTATTTGCGAGTATCTTGTGCGAGAGGATGTCAACCCAATTCTGTAAAGAGGAACAAGTCTAAAAAAAGCATTGGGCACAGATGGCGGAACAATTTTGCTGATATTGTCTCTGAACATCTGAGAGATGACTCGTTTTTCACTCTCATCGAATTGTCTAAGATTAGACGACTTTTTTATATTGACACACTCATAAGAAATAATTACGATATCTATAGTACATACAAATTACTAAAGGAATACACTGTTAACAACACTCTGATTAATATTTACTACATATTGAGCGATATTATTGATAACTTTAATACTGCGAATTATAATTTTATGTAACTTCACTAAAAAAAATGCGTGTAATTTTATATGAAAATTACATGTTTATAACTGGAAAATTACCTAAATATGATTAGAAATTTCTTTTTCTAGATTTTTTAAAGTAAAAATATATATTAATGGTAAAATATATGTGAATGTACTACTTTTATGTAAAAATAACTTGTAGTTTTAATTTTCAGCGGTACTTTTACAATACATAAACGGAAAAAAACAGTTTCATGCGAAAAAAAAGTAAAATTTTACATTTATTCTGTAATTTTACATTTATTGTGTGATCATTGTAGCCAATCAGAATCTGTACTCGGTGCGAGCGTACCGAGAAAAACGTCACTGCGCACCGCGCCGTCTATTGTTCGTGCAGCTTGTTAATGTCAGTCATGCCAAGTCCCTATATAAGAACTGTGACACACGCTTTTTACTGTTTTGCTGATGCAAGTTGTATCTAAATTTGAGTAGTAGTGTTAGCCGTTAGAATGAAGGATCCTGAATTGTGTAATATCCCGATTCTTTTATTTTTTTTCCATCCTTGTGTGTTATAAAGGGAAGGTTATTTAATATTGTAGTTTAATAGTGTTCATACTCATACAATGAGGTGGTTATTTTATTCAATTTGCAATTTAAAATTATCTGATATAAAAGCTTATAACAGCCACCAGTTCTTTCATCGCTAAATTTGTAGAAGATTTCATTGTGCACATCCCGGTTGTTCTTTGATCTTTAATAGATAGTCAAATTTCAGGGCACATTTAGTGAGATGTAAACATATAGGTAATAATTTGGTATCTAATATATTTTTCTCATGTAATATTTGCAGTTTATAAAACTAAAATTATAACTTTATTTTATCAACATATCAGAAATAGAATACCTTTAAATTGCTCATTTATGAAACCCTAAAATAGAAAAATCATTTTCTAGATATGAAATGTACTCATTTTATAAGAAGGCATTCATAAGTTAATGTTCAAGTTCTTCTTCAAGAAACTTCAATGGAAAATAATATTAATCTAACAAATACAACAAAATATTATTGAAGAGAGTTACAGAACAGTTGCCTTGTGATAATGGAAATATCTGCTTGAAACTATTAACTTCTTTGTATTTAAAGTTAGAATCAAAACATTTTCTGCCTAATAAATCTTTACAGCCATAATAGATAGTTGATATTAATCTAATTAATACAAATTTTATTACTTTAAAAGCACATGAGCAAAATATCACACTAATGGAAGAATTTTTAAATACTAATAATATTATTAATATATTATTATAATTAAATTATTAATAAAAAAAAATGATAAATTGAGAATCAAATTTTTTCGACATAAATATTATAAAAAATTTTTTTACTACGTGAATCCAGTATGTCATTTTATAAGTAATTCTTCTTCAAAATTTTTCTACATTTCTATTATTTATATATATTATATAGATATATTATATACGTTATAATAATTTCATTTCAAGACCAAAGTTTTTCAGATAATTTTTATAAAAATCACACGTTGATGGCATTTATCAAGATATAACTGATGGTTGCTGTTGTTGCAAAAATGAATTTTTAATAAATAATAATTATACAATAAAGCTTATTTTGTACTAAAATTCCTTTGAAATCTGCAATCCTTTAGGTGTTTCTCGAAAAAAACATAAAGTTGTAGAAGTGTATATGACAATAGCTAATTTACTACCTTGGCTAAGAACTGATATTCATCACATTCAGTTCGTAGCTCTCTTATTTACGATAAGGATATTAAAAAATATGGTTTTAATAATGCTTTCAAAGTAGAAGATAATAAGTAATAGTAGAAGATCTAAAAATTTTAGAAATGAAAGGAATAATTGTTAACAATACGATAATCAAAAGCACAATAATAGCTTTCGTTGGCGATAATTTAGGAAGTCATTAAACTGTAGTTTTAACGAGAATTTCAACATTGCTGAATTTTTACCGGTATTTTATGCAAATAATTTTACAAATAATTCAAATTTTATGTAATTTGTAAATTTAATATGAGAAATTCAGAATTACATTCTTTTGATGTTAATATGATGCATACTACTAATGAATCTTACAGAAGTGAAATCAGAATCAATTTTAAATTCTTTGTCATATTTTCATACAGCTAATCCTGGCTTACCTCCATATGTTTGATGTCTTGCTCATATGTTTGAAGGAATAATACAAAAAGATTTAATTATTTTAAATAAATTCAATAAACTTTATTTTTTAAAATAAATAAATTTTATTTTTTTTTAATCATTAAACTTAAAAATTCGAACTTTACGATTTACTAATAAGCCTCAGTTTTACGGAATTGAAAAAAAGGTGATAAACTTCTTGAAATAACTAACCAAAATATGTGGCTTCTGCTGATACTTCCATTTGCTTTTGTAAACGATATAAATAATGAGAAAAAAGACAATGATTTGTGGGAAATGATGCTATGTTTGCGAAGAATTATGCTTATTTTGTTAGGTTTTAAAATTACCATCAACCAAATAGAAATTTTGAATAACTTGATAATTGAATGTATTTATATTCAAGAATTATTTCCGGAGGTGTCAATAAAGCCTAAACATCATTATTCATTGCATTATGCATATCTGATAAAACTATTTAGACCTATGATATTAGATAACTTTGGACTCTTCGCTTTGAGAGCAAGCATATTTTAAACAAATAATAAAATACTTATCTTGTTTTAAAAACATTTTACTTTCTTTGTTACAAAATATCAATTGTTAAATGCATTTAATGTTTATCACAAGATTTTTAATCATAATTTTACAATATATTTATACAATATTTACGATATTGGTGACAAATACAATGTCAGTAATTATTGCCCTTTAATGAAATTATAAAATCAAATATAAGCTCTAACAAAAAAATTTATATAAGTAAGGACGTAATTCGTATTTTCCCAAAAAAAAGATATCTACAAATTTTTCATCATATCTCATGTTAAGGCAGTCTCTGAAAATTTTAGACCTATCGCTTTGTTCCGGAATAATCATTGATTTGAATGTATTCTCGGCAACGGTGAATAAACTGACGCTCATCATCATAGAGCCGTCATCATTCAAAACATGCGTATATCTCGTTCTAATCACACTATTTATTTCAGATGGCACGCGATCCTCCCTTCCCCCCTCGTGCGCGACACTCGAAAAGGTGACGATCATGCACACATTCCGCGTGCGAGAAATCAGTCCGCTCGATCAATATGAATCATCTTTCGTTGTAACGCTTCTTATCCTGAAGCCGAAGTACGAACCACCCCGATATTCTGTCACGTATTACTACTGCATTTTGTTACCTAATGTTCTCGGTATACATACCGCGAGGGCAGGCAGTAGTGTGCGCGAATTGCCTGAGTTTCCGACGAGATATGCCGACTACCACGTGCAATATATTTTCTTCCAAACTGTAAGAAACTACTCGATGTCGACAAATGCGAATTACCGGTGCACGCATCTTAACGAATGCACAAATTATCGATCCACAAGCTTCGCTTACCGCCTGCTTTGAATACATCTTAAATTTGACTCAGCAATAAAGGTTCGAATCATTACAACAAAGAGAGTCATTGTTATTACACGTACGCCTTGGCGTACAAGTCTTCCAGACAAAGTGACACCGTCACAAACACACAACAGCTTTAAAAATGAGTTCTAAGTTAGCTTATACAATTCCGAATATGTTAAATAAGTATGTAAAAAGGGGTAAAGACCAATTGGACGTTTTATCAAATCAAAGAGTGATTTACAAAATATTTTGTGAGAATTATGAGGCCAGTTATGTGGCCAGTAACATTTCGTAAATTACAGAATTGGCATGTTTGAAGAAAGATGCATTTGGAAATTATTGTTTAGATAGATTTAAACTTTCACATATTTTAATAGTTTCAAATAACGAAATATTTTTCATTGGAAAATCGTTCAACATTGTTTATAATAATGATTTAAGATTATGTGAGGAATAATATTAATGAAATTGAAGGCACATTCGTTTTTAATTTCACATTTCTTTTAATGATATAATTTATCATAAAACTGTTTTAAAATTTCACAGACAAAATATTATTATTATTATTTTATCTTCTTCTTATGAACATTTCTGATTTTTCTTTTTGACTTGAAATTTTTTTTTTTTTAATTTATTATACATCCATCTGAGTTATATATTTATGCAATTTAAAAAAATTAATGAATTAATTTTTGATATTAAAATTTTTGATGAAAGATTCTTCTGTTTGTCTCATGAATGATATACACTAATATATCTTTTTCTTACAAATTTACTTCTTACTATTTTCAATAATATTTTTTCTGTATATAATATTAGATATTAAATTAAGTATTTCCATATATTTATCTTTTATTATTTCCATATTATTATCTTTTATCCTGAAACTATCTTTTATCTTGAATATAATTGCGTTTTCTGATATCTGTCCAGAAAATATCTTCTTTTAAAGTATGGAATGTGAACAATTAAAAATATTTATCTTTAAAAATATATATCTTTATCAAGAACATGAAGGGATTTATCAAACTCTTATCAGCAAATATCATTGATATTATATTACTAGATTTAAATTATTGAATAACAAAGTAATACTATCGAGAGAAATATATATCATTTTACTGTCATTCTATTTATCCATTATAGTTTTTCTGCAATTATAAAACAGAGCGCGCGGCACAATTCAAAGAATCATATCATTTTTCGTTTGTAAATATTAATATAAGCTTTTTTTTACATTCTAGCATCGCAAAAATTTCAAATAAAAAAGGCACAGTAATTAGTTTTAGAAAGTGATGGAACAATTGTGGATGAAAATGAATCTCTTATTTTTTATGAAAAAGAGATATTTATTCTCTTATCGGAGAGTGAAATATGGACACCAACATTCCATCCAGTAGAAACACCTGCATCATCGGAACAGTACTGTAGAAACTTATATTGAAAACGAAAATGGTGAGCTACTTCAGGAAAAAGATCCCATTGATTGTTCTTACAAACTCGCAATCATCAAGTGAATTACAATCAATAAATTACAAAATTATCTGGAAAAATGTCAATGCAAAATATGCCATTTCACAAATTTTCCGATGATATGACAAAAGCTGAAAAACCAATATCTTTAGATATTTTAAAAACTAATGGCAAAGTTGTTCAGACATGGCTTGAATGACGTAGGCATAACCAAACTCAAATTGTACATATCATTGTGGATGAAATGCATTATATTAAGATTAAAATTCTGTTAAATGCTTTTAAAAGTATAGCTTATAAGTTAAGTGATATTCAATGTTTAAAAACATTGATTCTGACAACGAAATTATCGAAGATGGATGCTTTACTTTAACAATGAAACTCATGGAACGTAACAATTATTTATAATTATTATTAAATAGGTCATTTAAACGAAAATCTATCACAGCTGAAAAAATTCCAGGAAAAAAGTCAAAAAAGATAGCTAATATTACAAGCGGTTGTTCTAATTGAGATCTAATAGAAAATGATGAAAATTTGGATCAAGAAAATTTAAAATATTCCTCGAATGCTGTAAATAAAACAGACGAAAATTTTCATCAATATTTGGAAGATTCCTATTCAAGATTCAGGCATAAGGATGGCAATAAATAATAATGAACCTTTGAAAGATATTTTAAATCAATGGCCAGTTTTACGGAAATCAAAAAGTGCTTTCTATTGACACTTCCAAAATCTAAAGTGGATTTAATAATGATAGGAATTAAAATCAATTCCAAGGCTAACAAAATAATTGAATTTGGAATATAAAATAAATTATATACTCTGAAGATAACATTGAATCTGGATTTGCAGTTCTACAAATATTTTCCAAATACTTCAAAGAAGATATAGGAAAATTTATTTTTGAAGTAAAAGTATGTCCCAATTTAAATGGTTTATAAATAGCTTCATGCTTTCATTTATCAATTTTGTCAATTAGCATAATTCAAAAATGTTCATACTTATTTTTTCAATTTTGTACTTATTAAAACTCTATTTTGACAAATTCATTCCAAAATTCAGGTCAAA